TATTCTCAGATCATCGGGCATTTACTTGTTAGTTATTTTTTTGGTTTGGGTTTCAATTTCCTGCGAGTGTAGAATGCGGTACTCAAATTCTTAGGCTAGTTAGAGCTTGTATAATAATCTCCGACTATTCTTTTGAACATATATATATATAACTTTCATACCAACACCAAACAAATTTGCTCCACAAAGTTTGATCCTAACAAGCCAAATTGATGTTCCTAAAATGCGCATTTAATCGATGGAAAAATGCATGACCAATTGATTTTCCTAAATTTCTAAATGTACATATTGCCTAAGCTTTATTATGCAAGCAGAAAATCGATATATAAATTTTAATATCCATGAATCTCTCAAATCTCAGTAACTTAATGTGCACATAAATCAACTTAACATAAAATCAGAATGAATCCTTTGCAAGTTACCTGCAGATCCATAATAAATTTATCCATGAATCTCTCAAATATCAGAAATTTATACAAATCAACTTGACATAAAATCACATTTAATCCTTTGGAAATTACCTGCCAATAATAAATCATAGACCTCAGCTCCAACTGAATGTGGAATTAATGTTAAAAATACAACTTTTAAAAAGAGCTATTATATATTTCCCAGTGCTATAAATGTTCATAGATCCTTAAAAAAATTAGAGTTACAAATATACAACAGCACATTCACTAATCTCTCATTAAACCTCTCAAAAAACAGTCAAAACCAAAGGAGATAGATCAGCTCAATTTTTGCCAGGCCGTAATTAAGATCTGAGACTAAATTTGCTCACTGGGGTGAAAAAGATTCAAATGAAATTAACAAATAAAATTTACATGATGTGAATTAAATTATATTTAAAAGAACAAATGCTTGTTAAGTTTGTACTATCCTGAAGCATTAGATGAGTTGCCCTCCAACCAGCTTGGGCTTCCCATTAAGGCAGCGTCAGTCTCTGACAGTGGTGCTGCAAGTAAACGTGAATCAGCAATCACTATAATAGGGCTGCTAATTTTCGCTTGATTTAATATAGCTAATCCAAATCAACCAGTTTAATATTGAAATTATCGTTATCTTTTCCGTAAATAAATTATGGTTATTTACTACAGAGTCGACCAGATGGTTTGTTCTGCACACTTCAGTTTTTGCTCGAGAACATGGGATAGCCTCATATATTTGAAAAAAGAAAATTATTCTACATAAGATTAATTTATGATATTATCTTCAAATAAAAAATCAAAATCAAATATTCCTAACATGTGAGATAGAAAAGTACAGTTTAGACTGAAAGGAAAAATTTATAAGATGATGATGAGACATGTAATGCTTTATGACGCAGATTGTTAGCCTTTAAAAGAGAAACATAAAAGAAAGTTAAGTGTTGCCGAGACGACAATGGGTAGGTAGATGAGTGGTTTGACACTGAGAGATAAAATGTGAAAAAATATATCCATGGTAGGGTTAATGTAGCTCTAGTAGCGGACAAAATTATAGAGTTGTCTTAGATGGTTTGGTCATATTAAACGTCTACCATCCGATAATCTAATCAGAAGAATAGATGTCTTAGATTCAACTTGTGTTAAGTGGTAGAGGTAAACTTAGAAAAAGTCGGGCCAATTGTATAAAAAAATGATCTTAATTTATTAGTATTAAATGAAAATATGACTCTCAATAGGAAGCAATGGAGAAAAAGGATTCATGCAGCCAACCCCACTTCGTGGGTTACAGCTTGTTGTTGCTCTTGTATATGTTAATCTCAACATAATAACTAAATAATTAAATTATTCCCTTTTCGATAAATTTAACCAGTATAATAAATCTTGATGAAAAAAAGACTTGGTTACAATGGCTGGCTAAAAATAATATTCATTTCTACTTTTCTAAAATAAATTCCACTTAAATTATTTTATACACAATAAAATAAATGCTCAAGTACATGTTCTGAATACTATAAGCTACAAAATATGCGCGCGCGCATAAACTATAGAATGTATATATGTATATGTGTGTCAGAATATATAATATATATATATATATTATATCGATGCCGAGTCAAATGTGCCCCGCAATTTATGTAATATTATTATTATTTTTTTTATGAAACTTGTTTTTTGAATTAATAATTACTTTTCAACATTTTTAAGGTTTCAGATTAAAAAAAAAAAAAACAGCACTAGTGACACGCCATGGGTCCAATGAGTCCCTATGCCAGGGCTGAGTCATTTGGAATTACCACCATCAGGAATGAAAAGGAAAGCATATAAAAAACCGTCGAGTTGGATCAACATTACCAAGCAAGTCTTCATAGGAATCCTCAAAGAATGAATCATTCATCACAAACGGAGGAGAGAACACTTGGTCGATGCATTCCCCGTTATCAGGAGAGAAGGGCGGCTGTTTTCTGTGACTAATTACAGCATCAGCCTCCTTTCCAGGAAGGCTGGTGGAAAGCGGAACAAAGAAATGCTCGGACTCATCACTGCTTTTCTCATCTGAAACCTCAGAATTACTTGATGGACCAGACAATGCAGCTTCACGAACAGCAAGCCTGATATTTAGGGCATATAAAACCCCATCTGCCAGCAAGGAAAGAAAAGAAAAAACTGCTATGAGATTTGTTTCCATTCGATTAGTCAAAAGATAAATGTTTGTACAGAAAAGTGCCAAAATGGTCCCTGACTCTTTCTAAAGGTCCATGTTATTCCCAGATTCTATAAAAGTTTCAAATTAGTTCGCTGAATTTTTAAATGGGGCAAAAATAGTCCACCTTGGGGACAATTTCACCCCCTATTAAAAGAGATTGAGGACTAATTTGGCACTTTTACAGACTATAGGACTAAAGGTGCGTTTGGGAGGCTTTTTTGTGGCCTTATTGTTTTGAAAAGAAATGCTATGACATTTGGGAATTGTTTGTCACCTGCTTTTGGTTGCTGCCCATTTTCGGAACAACGAAATGCCAAACGCCAGCAGGAGCCTCCGTTCTGCAGTTCTAATAAAGTTCTGGGTGAGAAATGACTATCTCACCTTCTACAATTCGGTAAATCCTCTACTCTATCCCCGATATTACCCTCGCTCCCTTGTGATATGTTGTGATTGTGCCGATGGGGATTCCCGGTTGTCCTTTGTGATGGTGATATGTTGCTTACTGTTTTAATTATTTGATTTCTCTATTGTGCTTCTCGGTTTTCCTCTCTGTTGATAGTTTGTTGCTTGTGGTATTGCCAATGGGGCTTCCTGGAAGTCCTCCTTAGTGGTGGTTTGTTGCTTTCCAATTTACCTATTTGATTTGGTGATTTGGCTATTCTGTGTGGTGGTGGTTTGATACTTGTCGCTTAAACTTGAAATGTGCCCTTGGCCTTCTCAAGTTTATATGAAGGGGAATTTACATGCATACCACACAATTCTTATGAATGTACATATCTCACATCTACAAATTTAAATTTGTTTGCGTCTAAAGCGGTTGTGCCTTGGGCTTCTAGCTTGAACTTGAAGTGGTTATGATCTTGGGCTTCTCGGTTTTCCTCTCTGTGTTGTTTGGTTCTTACCATTTGAAATGTGAAGTTCTATTTGAAGAGGAATTTACAAGCACATCACATTATTCTTATGCATGTACATATCTAGCATCTAAAAATTTAAATTTCCTTGCGTCTAAAGTGGTTGTGTTGTTGGGCTCCTCCCTTTAACTTGAACTGATTGTGCCCTTGGGCTTCTCGATTTTCTCTCTATCGTGATTTGGATCTTGCCGATTGAAATGTAAAGTGTTGTTTGAAGGAGAATTTACATGCACAACACACTATTCTATCTAGTATCTAAAAATTTAAATTTGTTTAAAAAGGTGGAAAATCAATAGGATCTGATGATATCCCAATTGAAATGTAGAAATATTTAGGAGATTTAGGAATTTCTTGGCTTACTAAACCCTTTAATATTATTTTAAAAACTAAAAAAATGTCTGAGAAGTAGAGGAAGAGTATTTTGGTCCCCATTTTTAAGAATAAAGGGGATGCACAAGAGTGTAAATTTTAGAGGAATTAAGTTGATGTGTCATACTTTAAAATTATGGGGGAGGGCAATTGAACATAGGTTAAGACGCGATACAAAGATTTCTCTTAATCAGTCGGGATTTATGTTGGGCGGGTGTATTACGAGAGCCATACATTTATTGAGAGGTTTGATGGAGAAGTACAAAGAGAATAAAGAGAATTTACATATGATTTTTATTTATTTAGAAAAACCTTAGGATAAAGCTCCAAGAGAAGTCCTTTGGAGAGCTCTCGAGAAGAAAGGTGTTGATATGACTTATATTCAAGTCATTAAAGATATGTATACTAGAGTTGTTACTTGTGTTCGAACAGAAGAAGGATAGAACAAGTATTTTACTATTTCAGTTGGATTACGTTAGGGATCAAGTTTAAGCTCATATTTTTTTTTAAAGCTATGGATACTCTTACTAGACATATACATGCGAATATACCTTGGTGTATACTTTCGCTAATGATATCCTTCTTATGGATAAGACTAGAGAAAGAGTTAAGGAAAAAACTTGAATTATGGAGCTCTACATTCGAGTCTAGAGGCCTTCGTTTGAGTAGAACTAAAACTGAATACATGGAATGTAATTTTAATAGTAGTGATTCTAGTGACAGAGAAGTAACTACGGATGATCAAATCATTAAAAGGTTAAAAGTTTTAGATAAATCGAGTCAAAGTGATGGTGATATAGATGGGAATATTATTGGTAGAGTTCAAGTTGGTTGGCTGAAGTGGAGGAATGCTTTGGGCATATTGTAAAAGAAAAATATCGCTTAAACTGAAAGGAAAATTTTATAAGATGGTGAGACCTGCAATGCTCTATGACGCAGACTGTTGGACTTTAAAAGAGAAGCATAAAAGAAAGTTAATGTTGCTGAGATGAGAATGCTTAGGTGGATGAGTGGCTTGACACTTAGAAACAAAATGTGAAATGAATATATCAGTGATAGGTCTGGTGTAGCACCAGTGGCAGACAAGATTAGAGGGAGTCGTCTTAGATGGTTTGGTCACATTAAATGTCAACCATCTGATGATCTGATTAGGAGAGCAAAAGTTTTAGTTTCGACTGATGTTAAGAAAGGCAGAGGTTAACATAAAAATACTTTGACATATTGTATAAAAAATGATCTTAATCTATTAGAATTAAATGAAAAAATGACACTTAATAGGATGCAATAGAGAAAAAATATTCATATAGTCGACCCCACTCAGTAGGATGAAGGCTTGTTGTTGTTGTTATTAAAAGGTGTGGTTTTGCTTCTGGTTGTGGCAGTGAACTTGTGAAGCACCAAGGCACAACCACTTGGGCGTGGTTTTGACGGCTTTGGTTTTTGTAATGTACGCAGAGCAATCATGGAAAAAAAAAGAAGAGCTCATCTGATTACCAATTGTCAGTTATATAATTGTCCCTACATGTTTGCCACAAATACTACATGGTCTTAACGCACACATCACACTGTTAACTACGAATACTACCAGGTCTTAGATCACACATGCCACTGTTAAGCAAAGATACTATCACGTCTTAAAGTTTCTATGATATAGTCGGTGATCTTGGATGGGGCATTCTTTGACAAACTGATCTCATTGAGCTCTAATTCGATATGTTATTTTTTTTTTTAATTTTTCTTCAGTTTTTATAATTATTTTTTAATTGTAGGCCAAACTATTTTTTTTTTCCTCCAAATATTTTATCTACAATGATAAACCAGATGGGTAAATAAAAGGAAGGTGTGATATCAACCATTTGGGAGAGGGAGGCAATGATCATATTCAACGGTTTATGCTTGAAAGAGATACATATTCACAATAAACCAATCAAATACTTCAATAAGAAAGGCTGACAAAATATTATTAAAGACTTTCATAAAAAAAATAAGAAGGTTTTATGAGAAAATCCAGTGGAAGAACAAATTTGTAATTTGACAACATTATTATAAATTTCCAATGTCTTCACCAAGTTAGTACATTCATGACAGTATATGAAACCTTTGATTTGAGAATATATGTAGTAAAGATTTTATTATTCAGAGAAATATTACCCTGTCGATTCGGAATATCCATTGTAACAAGATTTCTTAAAGTTCATCCCCGACAAAACCTACCATTTTTTATTTTGAGTGTAACAGCTAAGTGATTAGAGAAAAGAATGAATTGTTCAACAAAAAAAACTAATCATTATAAAGTGTTATTGAGAGAGCATTCAACGTATATAAGAAGTGTCATACTCCGAGATATGCTGACATATTCTTTCAAAAAATAGGTAAAGATGGTTGTTGTAACGATAATGCTATATAATTTTATACAGATGTATCCTTCTCGGGACGATATTGATGTCAGGACTTAAATGAAAATCCAACATGCATACTTGTGGAAATATTCGAACATCGACTTGGACAGTAATTGTCTGATGAAGACTTGGTATGAATTATTTCAACGCATTCGAAGAGAAGGATGTACAAGAGAGGATCTAGTTAAGAGAAGAGCTTACAGATGTTTTGGTGAACTCATCCAGCGTCTTTATGTAGTGTTGTGTAGTGCCTTCTTGTAGATGTTTACTATTCAGATGTATTTAGGATTTGTAGATAACTACTTTCTATATTTATGTAGTATTTTGTATTGAAGATTTATTGATGTTTACTTTCTGTATTTTTTTTCTGATTATGAAACCAAATAAATTTTATATTGTTCGATTGCATATCTACTCTTATTTGTCAATTTAAACTATAATGTATTATAATCTCAAGAAAAATGAGTTCAAGGTCATCAAGTACTTAAATAGTTATATATTGTCACTGTGGTGCGCAATGTTCTGAGTACACATCAAAATGAGAGATAGGTATGGGAGGATATTTTATTGTTGTCCCAGATATAGAACATGTGAAGATTGTTTTTATTTCGTTAGGCTAAAGATATAGATGAGTTTGCTCCAGATAGTGATCAAATGAGGAGAAATACTGTAGAAAAAATTATTCTGAAGACTTGATTGACTGGACATCAAGGCCAAAGGCATTATAGCATTGCTGGTTATTTTTATAGTGCTTACTATTGTGGTATTATGCATGAAATGATTACTTACAATTGATGTATTGAAGAAATTTGGACTCCTAACATGTTTTTTTAGTGCTGGAGCTGTTTTTGTTATTTTGTTATAACTATTTTCAAAAGTACAGTCATTCAAATAAATTACACATATAAGGGGATAACAATCTTTATCGTCAGAAACAGCAGCAACACAACAAATTATCCAAAAAAACTCCTGTTATTCTAACAACAGCTTTTTGACAATACCTGTGAAGCTGTTGCTTCAAAAAGCAATAACCGCCCCAAACACACCCTAAAATGATCTCACGTGAATAGTTGACTTTTTACTCAATATTTGTATAAGAAACATGCTTATGGTAAGTACAGAATCAGCTGGTACCGAAGGCTAACCTTCTGCTGCAACTTCTTCACAATCATTTCCAAAAGGTTGGCCTACTGACTTCACTGCAAGAATATTTTCTGACTTAGCTGCGGGTGGAGCAGCTGTGGCATGCCGCTTTCCAGAATGCATACTCTTTCCTGATGAATTTGGAGTAAGACTAAACAAATGTGGAAGTTTGAGAAGCGGGCTGCCAGAAACCTTTCCAGATTGAAGAGAGAGATTGGAAGCCATCTCAGCCAGTTGATCTGTATTTTCCTGCAACAAAATATAACCACAAGATATTTTAAAACAGTTTCAGGCAAAAAGCTGAAACAGCGTCATAATAAAATATATTACTCAACCCGAAAGAATAATTGCATACTTGTATCCTTCCACTGCTTCGGGCCTGGGTTGGCGAGCTTAATCGCTCATTATATTCATCTAGTGCAATTGGTGAAATTCTATTCACTTCTTCAGTCAGGTCCGCTATTGACTTCTGCATTACTGGGACTGCGTCTTTAAGTTGGTTGATGAGCCCCTGCTTTTAAAAAAGATATACTTAATCTATTGTTTTGAGGTAAAAAAATAAATTAGTATGACATTTTCATAATAACCTCAAAGATTATTCAATAATAAAACCACATGTGGCTATTGAAAGGTTCAGAAGTAATTTAAATTGATAACATGAAATGACTTTAAGCTTTAATACAGTTAACTTTTAAGTTATCTTTGTTGAAAAAAGTGGATATAATAGGCATGATAAAACTTGTAGAACACTAATAGCGGGCAAAATATGGAGAAAAATCCTTGTCTCCCTACAAACTATTGTTCTAACTTATGATTGATACACCTTCGAGATGCACTTGACCCTGAGACCATAAAATTAAGCCACAATCTCTCCATTCATTCATCCTAAAAGAGAAATGAACAATTCTGACTTCCAGATACCACGCAGAATTAGAAAATGGACCATGATGTAGGAAGGATGAACGAAAGGGAACACACCAATGGTCAATTATTTTTCTATTTAAATCACAATCATGTGAGCAAAGGTCAGCCACCAAGTGTTTCAATATAAATTATTTTTCACTTAATGATAGATTAAATCCCATACACTCATGTGCATTAACAATCCACTAGTATTGCATACTAAGAGCTCAATTAATCACTCCAGTCCATTATAGAATACACCAACTCTAGAATTTTTCTTGACACTCGTACAAGCCCTCTAAAACCCATAGGAGCTGCAAACTGCAAAAACCATTTGATCTCAGCTGAACAATTAGCTATGTTCCCACTTGTCAAGCAATGTGGAATCAATTCGTACCAAAATTAAATTTGATACCAATCATCAAACATAGTTTTAACCCAAAATCTCAAACTTATGGCTGAGGACAAACCAATTAGTATTTCAAAACTGACATATATTTTACTATTTAATGTGCAACTAAAATCAATACTCTTACATGCCTTAACACTAGATAGCTTAAGAACTTCGCAACATTAATAAATGATCCTACAGAAAAATCCAATCAAGAAAATTTGGGTTTGTGTTAACTCACAAAAAGTTATAGCATTCCTAAATATAGAATCTTGCATTTAATTTTTAGTTCGCGTTGGGATTGACCAGAAAATCTAACCCAAACTTGACCCAAAATTAGCCCAAACTTAACCCAAAAAAAATGAATTTATAATACATGATGACTATTATGCCTAATCTTAAATGTGTTGCTCAAGTTGGGTTTACGCTCCACGTCGAAGATAAGCCTGATTAGGAACAAACTTTCTGACCTGTTAATAAATAGGTAGAGTTTGGGTCATGAGGTTCAACATCATCATCAACAACAAAAAGCTTTTATCCTCCTAAGTGGGGTCGGCTGGGTAATGTAGGTTCATGTCGACTTAAGTTCAGGTCAATCTCGAACTTAACCCACATGAAATTGACACCTCCATAACAACCTAGATTACAATTGTGAGAATATAATCAAGCTCTAAAACACATTCTTAGGTGCAGGCATATATTTTTCTCTTCCCGCAATCTTGGTTTTATTACCAAACTGGTGCATGCATATATGATTTAGTGAGTATGCCAAAATTCTGACACCCTCATTTGTTTCTTCTTTAGTTATCGTGAGCAAGTTCATATAACAAAGAAAATAACATGGATATCTACCATGCAAACCACATATTCATGCTAGCATAAGAAGAGCTTTAATTTCTTGTGATATAAGAACACTATCAGCCATCCTTGTACAGAGCAGTACATCAACAAAAAGGGCCATGCAATATTTCACCAGGTGGTTTAAAAGCTAGTAAAAATTGAAAAATGGAATGGAAAGAGACGAATTATCAAAAAAAATCCTCAAATTGGGGGATAAGAGAATGTCCCAAACCATTTTCGGGTAAAAGCTCATAGAATTAACTGTATAAACAGGTCAATCTACATCCTTGAGTGTCCAATGAAATTACTCACTGATGAAATAGCTTCCTGTTAGATTTATGCAATACTTTGGGTAGTCAATAGAAAATTTTCTTCTGACAATGGCTTCCTGTTCAGTAAAGCAAATGTGATTTCCTTTTGTAAGCCACCAAAACAATGCAACTAGGCCATTCTTATGTTAGAGCTTTCATTCAATGCAAGATACAGATTTAGACCTAACAAAGAATGAAGATGGAACAAAAAAAAAAATCTTCTGTTTTTTCCTATTCTCAATAATTTTCTCTTTATTATGCAGTGTGTGCGGGCTTGTTGGGAGTTTAAGGTACATTCTTAGTTGATGAATTAGATTGCTCGGATTGCGAATCAGTTCTACATGATCTAACATCTGATCAATGCAATACCACCAACCGTATAAGGTAATGCATTGGAGCTTCTATTCCTTAATAAATGACTGCATTGCCACAGGCTTTTGTTCTGCACATATTATCCAACAGACCTAGTTGTGCAAAGATATGAAGACCCAAGTTTTTCCATAAGCTTGACACAAACAGTCAACTACCTTATATAAACATATTTATAATTGGGTGAATGAGTACCATCCCATCAATTAACTACGAGCACATTAAAAAAATCAACAATAAAGGAATTTCATACGAATCGTTAAAAAAAAAATAGTATGATATCCCGTAAGCACATATGTCAAGTTCATAAGCTGCAAAGACTCAAAAAATTCCAGCTGACAATTACAATAATTATTGCTTATAGTTAGAAGTTAGAAAAAACTAAATAAAGCAGAAAACAAATTGATTTAACCAATCAGTTTGTTAAGCCCCGCTCCAAATTAATCAAGCCTACCACCGGTGGGGGGGGGGGGGGGGGTTAAAAAAAGCTCT